GGAACCTAATGTTGTGGTAGGAATTCCGGTGAAGATGTGAAGATGGCTGGCGGCGAAAGTTTATGGTAGCGAGACGCTTCAGTTGAGGATGGTCGAAATTGATTGAGCGTCAAGCCGTCAGCAGAATTAGACTAAGAGCATCTCCAAATGCGCGCGAAATATTCGACACGCTGGATAAACCAACAATTTGGCGCGCGAGAGGCTGCGCGGCGTGCTCCAGCAGACACGGGAAAGTTTGAGCGTGAAAAAGATGTGCGTGCGGGGAAAAAGCGGCAGCGCGTGCAACAGTTTTGGCACGCGTCAACCAGCGCGCTGGTTAAAAGCCGCGCGCAAGCGCCCGCCGCTACTCTTTCCCTCCTGTCGTGCCTTCTTCCTCGCCTCTTCCAGTGCCCCGCCGCCGCCGCGCCTTCTCCCCTCGCCTCTTCCAGTGCCCCGCCGCCGCCGCGCCTTCTCCCCTCGCCTCTTCCAGTGCCCTGCCATACCGCTGCACCCCCGGAGCAGGTCCGGCTACCGCGACGTCCGCCCGCCCCTCTGGCGTGTATTACTCGGAGATCCACTCCGGCGATACACGTCTCAGGCTCGGCACGTTCGAGACTGCCCACTAGGCCGCCCGCGCGTACGATGCGGCGGCGTGGCGCCCCGAGCGGCCTTGGTCACAGATGAACTTCACCGATGTGCGGATGCGCGAGCAGGCGCAGGAGCTCGCGCCTCCCCCGTGACTTATCAACGACGAGGATCGCCGCCTCCAACGGACGTAGCGCCGCCTCCTCATCGCCAAGGCGGACGAGCATGCCATGGCGGTGTAGCGCGAGCGCTTCCCGCAGGATGTCACCGCCGAGAACGAGTTCTGCACGCAAAGGAGGGCGGAGCAAGCCATGCGTCTGGCGGACAAGCATATGCGCGGAAGTAACATGCAGAAGCCCAGATCAAGCTAGGACCTACATCGACCTGGGACAATGAAGATCCTCGGTGGCTCTATGCATTTACGTCGTCGGACTACACCATTGAGGAGGACGAGGAGTAGTTTTATTTAGTATCGTTTTATTTATTTTTATTAGCATCGTATGAACTGGCTTGTGGTTTGGGGAACTATGCTATGAAATTTAAAGTTCTAAACTATGTGTTGTTTCATATATTTTTTCGTATGTATTGTTTCAAAAAAGTTCCAAACGCGCGCTGGGTTTTACCGCGCCTGGTGAAGCGCTATAGTGGAGCGCTAAATTTTGCAGCGCCTTATAAAGCAACCACCCTCCTACGCGCGCTAAAATGTTATTTCAACGCTGCCAAAAAAACTTAGCGGTGCCGCGCTACCGCGCGCCTGTTGGAGATGCTCTAAGCCTGGAGGTAGAGGGGCGGTCCTCTTTCTCTCGCCCGTCTGCGTGCTCCGGCAATAGCTCGCGGATGCGCTTGCCCCGCTTGAGCCCAAGCCAGACTTGAACAATTTCTTCATGTGCTCCAAGGATGTCGTATACGAGCTCAGAGTGCCTGTTGTGACTCGTGACCCTTAGCATCAACGGCTCGCCTCATACATCTCCGCAGTAGTCCGGGCGCTCACCTTGCACATGAGAGAGAGAGAGATTAGGAAGAAGATAATGTGTGCCATCGTCGTTGCCTCGTTGGTGAGAAAAATGTCTAATCCAGGTCGGGATTGTCTTTTCCCACTTCGACAAACATGTCCAGAATGGTGTAGGGTCGGGGATTAACGAGGATCGATAAGGTTAGGGTGCTGATTTCCAGGATTAATAGTTTAAGGTTTGAATCAAACTTAGACTACGAGTTTAAGGTTTATTTCAGACTTTTTCCTTTATTCTTCCACACCACCGTAACTTAATGTTGCACGTACAACTTGAGGCTATGGCAACCGTGTCATCGAGGGTAGCGGCGAGCAGGACTCGCAAATGGTTCTGTCACCTACATTCAAAAAAGTTTACATAATTTGGTTTGAGAAGCGTGATTGAAGTGCGGCAGCACATCTATGGCAGAAGCATATATATACTCTCTCCCATTCGACAATGTAGTGCGCCCGCACTTTCCGAGATTTAAGTTTGACAGTAAATTTAACCAACACGACCAACTACGACGAGAGCAAAAATTATATCACTGATTTCGTATTTGCGATATGAATTCAGTAATATAATTTTTGCTTCCGCCGTAACCAGTCTCGTTGGTTAAATCTACGGTCAAACTTGGATCTCGGGAAACGTGGATGCACTACATTATGGAACGAAGGGAGTACATGGGATACATCAGAAGTTTGGGGACACATGCTGATTGTCATATGTTTGAGGCACATATTGATTGCCATATGCTTCAACTTGCATGTTTAAATACTTAAATATATATATGCTAACAGAACCGCAAAAAAAATGCTAACAGCATCTATCTGCAATGCAGTTTGATTGGATAACTTGGCACAATTTTTAGTTTGTTTTTCACAAAAAATCCGGCCATTGTTTTTTAGAAGCTGGATATTCTAAAAACCTACTAAAATATAACATATATTTTAGGAAATTGTTTAGCATGTGTTTTATAAACAGGTTCGGTATATATAATAAAAAAAGTTCACCATATATGAAAAAAATGTTTAGTGTGTATTAGAAATGTATATTAAAAAGTGTTAAATGTGACTCGGATGGAGCAGTCATTTTCTCAGCATATCATTATCTTTTCTTTTGCAAAGATACGCTTGAATCCGAGATCAGCGCTGTTTTAGAAGAACTGAGAATGAGCATGCAACGGTCAAGATTACCTATTCTTATTCAATCTGACGGTTTGCTGCATTGACGGACAACTGGTTGGATCTTTCAGCTTATGGACATCTAATACTGGAAATCAGAAAGCTTCTGGAACCTCATGGGTTTATTCCGCAGAAAATTGAGTGTCGTTAATATAGGTTGCTCATAGTCTTGCCAATATTCGTCGTACATGAGGTAGCACCGCTTGTTAGTTGCACCATGTTCCAGACAGTGTTTCTAACTTTGTATCAGCAGACTGTAACACTATTACCGAGGAATAAAACCCACCATTGTCATGTAAAAAAAATGTTTATCATATACTATTACCGAGTATTATACAATAATGTTGAGTGTGTATTTAAAAAATTATCATATACTAAAATGTTCAGTGTGTATATTGAAAAAAGTTCACCGTATATTGCAAAACCTATATAAAAATAAATATGCAAAATAATAAGAAGAAAAAACCAAAGAAACCTAAGATCTGAAAAAAAAAACACATAATAAAAAGATAACAGTCAGCAAAGTCAGCAAAGGCGGCGAGCGAACTAGGACGTGTCTGAAACTACGGTATAGAAACAAATCTGCCTCTACATTGGCATAAAAAATCGAATGGTACAATCGTCAAGCGCCTAGACTTCTAAGATCGTGGCCAGGGAGATCGAATGGTGACCTTGCCCTCCTCCAAGGCCCGCGCGTCCGGCGGCACCCGGTGCCTCCTTCGGCGTCAGGCGTGGCTCCCCTTCCTGCAGTTGCAGCTCCGACCTATGCTAAACTTCCGCTTCTCCGGTCCGTGCTCCGATGGCTTGTGATTGCTTGGATGGTGGCCAGGGAGAAATCTCTGCATCCTATGCTAGCAGCGGCGACACTCGCGGATGCCGTTTTCTTCTTGGAAGCGCTGTCATGGTCATTATGTGTGCCCCTCTTCGAGCATCAGGGGAAACTCTAGGTCTGGGTTTCCCGATCAGACGACGACGACGTCTTGATGTCGTTCTCCTTCGTGAAGGCGTTGTCTTGTTTGCTCGTGATGTCCTCGGTATTGGATTTGGAGATTTTGGTCGCAAGTTGTTAGTGGGGCTGCTTCTCTGGTCGGCGAGTTTAGTCGTGTTATCTTTATTTGGGTCAAGCATCTCATGTCTCTTTATTTTCGGCATCATGTTCATGCCTCTTGCGTTTGTATCATGTATTGTATCACCTTTTGTATTCATTCTAACTTCTTCTATCAATGAAAGGATACGCAAGCTTTGCGTATTTGCGAAAAGAAATCCTGTCACGGGTTTGAATCACGGCAGAGCGCCCTATTTTTTGTTGCTTTTATTTCCCTGTCTGACTGACAAGTAGGACCCATACAAGGCAGAGGGAGAGTGCCAGACAGCCAGGCGAGTTAACAGCAACACCGTTAGGATTAACGGAAATTGTATCAAATCGTGTTGTTAGATAAGTTATTGTACCATTTTTCTGGGTTTTTAGTTTTTGTATGATTCTGTTAATTCGCTGCAAGTTCTTGTACTACAGGTGTAATTAACTCAAAAAAATTGCCCACTGCCACAGATAGAGCAACTGGGCGATTAAGCTCTCTGGATAAAGATACTGAACGGGAGGGACAACTACTCTGGAAAAACTTTGCAGAGGCCACAGCACCTCACCATCTCAGATAAAATTAACACATGGTGTAACGACAGACCATGATTCAATCAGTCAACGGCAAGGCCGTCGAGCCGAGCAGCATCGGCACGAACATGTTGCCGCACTCTAGCAACATTGATGGGGCCGACAAGCTGACAGCGGCCAAGTGGTGTTGTTTCGACGCCATAGCTCTTGTCAAGCATTCCGTCGAGCAAGACAGGTGCACAGAAGATTCAGCCGCGGGCAGTTTGCACAGACACCACTTGACCGTGGCTTACGGTACCGCCGGACGCCATGGCGGTGGATGGAGTTGCCGGAGTATACCGTGTGGGGATTTCTAGGCACGGAAGGGATCGCCGAAGTGACAGCCGTAGCTACGCGGTGCTACCGTGCAAACTTCCCTTCCATCTCATCTCCGGCGCTGTCTACCGGAGATCGAGCACCTGGTGGGCATTGCTGTTAGGGAAATGTCAAAACCGAGCACTGGGAAACAAGAACAGTTGACAGAGCAAAGAATTTAGGCAAATCAGAGAGATTTCTGACATTTCTCTTAGCAACGAAGATTACATCGGCACCATTAGCCGAACAACGACCACTGTTACAAAGCATTAAACAGCCTACAGCAACCTGTGCGTGTTTCTAAGCCTTGGTTGCCTTCTTGGGGGACTTGGTCGCCTTCTTGGGAGACTTGGGCTCCTTGCCCTCCTTCTCCGCGGTCCTCTTGGGGAGGAGCACCGGGTTGATCTTCGGGATCACGCCGCCGTGCGCGATGGTGACGCCGGCCAGCAGCTTTCCGAGCTCCTCGTCGTTCCTGACGGCGAGCAGCAGGTGGCGCGGGATGATGCGGCTCTTCTTGTTGTCCTTGGCGGCGTTCCCGGCGAGCTCCAGCAGCTCGGCGGCGAGGTACTCGAGGACGGCGGCGAGGTAGACGGGGGCGCCGGTGCCGACGCGCTGGGCGTAGCGGCCCTTCTTGAGGTAGCGCCCGATGCGGCCGACGGGGAACTGGAGCCCGGCCTTGACGGATCGCGTCACCGACTTCTTCCTGGGGCCGCCGGCCTTGCGCCCGGCCGCGCCCTTCTTCCCCTTCGCTGCAGCGCCTGAGGCCTCCATTGCTAACGACGGCGCTTTTGAAGAAGAGCTGGAGAGGGGCAGAGAGATTTGGTGATGGTGGATTGCGGGGTGAGTTGGTGATAATGGAGCAGAGGAGGCAGAGTATTTAAACGGTGCGGGGAGGCAGTGGTGGGTCCGTCGATCCGCGTGCGCGCGCATCGGACGGTTGGATCCAGAGGGGAATGGACGGCCGCGATCGCCAGAATACCCTGGGCATCCCGGATCGGTGTATGCAAACAAAACAGAAGGAGAAAGTGATAGTAACAAGGTTGGAATAGTACTACGTATTAAATTCCGACGAAATTTGAGGGGGGCCGTTGGAGTTGCTCTAAGTTTACAGAATTTTTGTAAAGATGTCCAGCTGACTGATGAAAACGACACTGTTAGATGGAAACTTACTGGGTCAGGGAATTTTACTGTTAAATCCATGTACAATACGTTGAAAGCAGTCCAAGAGGATTGTCCCTTTAAGAAATTATGGTTTGTTGTGGTACCTCTGAAAATTAAAGTGTTATTGTGGTTAATGTTTAAAATAGCATTTCTCACTAAAGACAATGCTGAAGAGGGGTTGGTCTGAACGGCAAACCATCTTTTTTTGCACTACTTTTAGTTAGGTATGATTTGAGTGTCCTTAAATGTGCTTTCAGAGATAATATGAATGTTACTTTTGTTCAATGTACTTAACTGGATGGATAGTTGAGTTATCAACCGGTCCGGATTTACATCAACAAAGCCTCGAGAAGAACCTGACTTTGCATTAACAAAGTCATTAACGGCTCATGTGTCACGACCCGAAGGTTCGGAAATAAATGTGACAGTTGTCGTGTCCTTATGAGTTGAAGAACACTCATAAGCACACAAGGCATGAGTAGCATATATCAGAACAACAGGGCACAAGTAATACTTTAATTCCAGCTTATTCTTTACATAATAGCTTACACCCTCACTTAACCAAATAATAGATAGTAGGCCAAGTGTTCAACCACGTGCATATGCACATGTATTGATAGCACTTCCTCTTATTCTTCACTGACTTTATTTAAGGATTAAACAAAGACTGCTAATTTTGACACCCTGGCCTAGGTGTCGACTTATTCCTCATGCTCCTCTAACTCCTCACCATGCCCACTTCCCACGCACTCTGTGCATATCAGAGGAAAAAGGAAAACAATAGTGAGTATGTTGGGACATACTCAGCAAGAATATAAGAATGCAAGAATTAGTAGGTTGCAAGTTGAATGTACATAAGGTAAAGATGCTTCAGCCTCCTGTTACCTTACAGGAGCAGGATGGAATTATACCGGCGCAAACCTATAGCAATAATCTCTGCAGAGACATACTAATAACCGTCGTAATCTCCACCAATGGTAATACCTATCTCCGGGAATCACGACGCCGAGTCCCCTACTTGTGTGAGGTATCTTCCATCTCACACTAGTACCGACTAAATTAGCCACGTACCGTTATTTCAGGTATCGACCGCCCCGGGCTTGATATACCACACTTACCATGATCATGACGGTGTACGTTCTTAGATTATTCAAACATCATCGTTCGATCAATCCGTCAACCATGCACGCATGGTTCTCACAGGCATAATAATTACCAGCTCATCACTTATATTCATATGTAAAAACATTAATGCTAGTAACCAATTAATTTGTTAACATATATTAAAAGTTCAGTTTGAGAGAGAAGACTGATATGCACAGTCTTGCCTTGCAGCGGTTCCTCCTCGGCTAAATCTGAGCTCCAACCTAAGCATGTTACAAACGCCCATCAGCTTATTATTTCATGTGACTTGCAAGTGGCAACATGGACATGAGCAGCTATATGCAGTACCAGTACAGGGATGTAACAAGTCGCTCTATAGTACTTGGCTATGCTAGAGTGAGGCGTGCACATCCCACTTTAACCTCAGTACTGTTCCCAGCTATTAAATTTGAGAAATACAACCACTTGCATGCATGCTAGCTAGCCATGAAGATTATTTCTTTACACAGGAGATGTACGCATGCATGGGTCCTGTAGTACTAGTACTACTCGTTTCCAGTCTTTCTTACCAACTAGTACTAGTTGTTCCTTCTTAAGCCAGCGAATAAATTCATCAGTGTAACAAAGCATGGATCAATAGAATGGAATCAGTCTGATGCAACTTCCAGTATTTTAGAATCTTTTCGTTCATTTACCCATAACACCACATCTTCCGTTAAGCAAGAATATCACCTCAAGTGTGGAAATCGATGGAAAGAAAACAGGAACATGTAGTAGGAGAGGAGAGATGCTACAGCTAGCTACCCTCAAGAATCTTAGATGACTTCATGAGACAAGACGAGGAACAGGGCGTTGGCTAAAGCTAGCAGCCATACCTCCTTGTCCTCAATTTCTCCGCAGCTTCTCCGATCGGTCGCTCGCTCTCCGCTGACTGCTTCCAACTAAAGTGGGGAATTTTCTGGGTGTGGGCGACCAGTACCGCACGGTTGAGAAGCTATTTATAGTGCAAGAGAAGAGGGTTGAAAGGATGACATCTGTCGAGGAAGGGCTACGTGGATGAGACTGATCTAACCCAGGTACCGACTACCCCACGGCTGGCTCACCCTGGTTACTGTGGATGCTTATCTACTCGCTGCTTCCTTAGCATAGATATTTTTTTGGAACACAGCGCAGGTATTCTCCCTGCGTAAGTAATCTGCAGGACATTGAACTTATCTACTCTTTTCTCTTCTAGAATAACATTTTAACAGATAAACCCAAATAGTTTAGAACCTAGGCAGTGAGATGTTTTGTACACGTAATCTACTAATGTTTGGTAAACTATTTTTTATTTTTATCTTAATAGCTTAACAGTTAATCACAATATAATTATCCAATTAAAATAATTATCATCGCATATTTATTTTAGGTTATTACATCATGCCATGGGGAAAATACAAAAATGGGCCTCACACCCAGCCTGTAAGCGGAGCACAAAATAGTGTAGTGTATGGCGTTTGTTAGATACTCTAAATTGGTTCCACGACAAAATAAACAATATGGTGAAACACATATGAGAAATTGCAAATAACTTCAGGATAATGGATATCAGGTGGTTGTCAATTTTGTCTCAACATACCCTAAATCAACGCATACAAGTGACAAGAGGGTATACATTGTAGAGATTTCCCCCAGAAAAACATTCTCTCATTTGAATTTTTGTATATCCGAATTGTGACGCACACGAAGAGCTAATCTATGTTTTTTGTAGCATTACACAAGTCATGACATCTCAAACAGCTTCGAAATAATGGATATTCAGGACATGTTGGTTTGGCCTCAACATACCCATATATTTAACAGTATGGTAGACATTATAGTAACTTCCCCAGCAATAAAAAAGGCCTCTCTTTTTTGAAACTTTGATTAAAAATACAATGAAGCAGACAAAGTGACAGTTTCCAAATTTGCAAGGGCGTGTTTCTTGTAGGATTACACAAGCCATGCCATCTCAGGTATATCTTTGAAATAATGGTTATTTGGTACATCTGTACAAGTCAGTTTGACCTCAACATGTCGACAATCAACCCATACAGCATCATCACATATATTATGAATGTTACCACTAACATCTGGTGACATCGTTTATTCGCAGGAAGCAAAAACACTGTTATAGGCTATTTTGATGTCCACGTAGATGATATTTGGAGGGCCTGGTTATTTGACGAGTGATTGCCCAACAAGATGTGGGCAATCAAATTTAGACATCCAAAAAATGGTGCATTCCAATGTTTCGCGCAATTGATTTTTCGAGCTTTCCTTTTTGATAATTTGTTGAATTATAGTACAGACATTAGGGGGAAATGTAACCCAAATTTTAAATCTTGATCTTTGAAAATGTTAACCTATTTAGATTTTAAACTTATTAAATATTAGAAGTTTTCCATAGGAAAACAAGATAGAGAACACATATGAATATGAGCCCCACACAGGAGAGAAAGAGGGGTGAAGGAGAGAGATGTGGATAACACAAGTGTGTGGGCCCTGCTCGCATCTCATGTAGCAACGCGCAATGCTAAATCGCCCACCTGCCTCGCCTGTTTTGAGAAAGTATGCATGTATGGGCCCCTTCCCCATCCCAACTATGCATTCGGCACTCGACAACTACCAAGGAGGCGCTTCACCTAAACCTCTTGGCACGTGCTTTACACACACAGATAATCATGTAAACATGTAGTATTATGAATTCCTTTCCACAAATATATAAATTCATACTTTTGGTGTATATCATATCTTATGTCCTAATCACTTATATTCAATGATGAGAACATTGGTTATCGATGGGAGTGTCCCGACAAGGGGTTCACTCCGAGCATGCCAAATCTTGCGGCGCGGATTTGTGACTTGATGTGGCCATTTTAGTAATGACTTAGTCATTGACAGCCATCTGAGCATGGATCGAACGACGAGATCCACTCATGTGCGTTATATTGTTATTCACAACGATATAACGGTTTCACGGGTTAGAATCCACCACTTTCTTAACACTCGTACTTGCATCTTATGAAGGTATTATATTCTCTTAGAAGAAAGAGGTCTATCTAGTTTTGAAAATTGCTAAATAATAGCCACAAACAAGTTTTCAAAAACAAAAAGGTAACGGTAAAACGAGAAACATTCACCGGCCGTAAATGTTATTGTAGCTACGGATAGCATACACAAAATCTATATTTTTTTATTAAGAGCTGAAACATGATTTGAAATTAAAGGCATTATTTACGAAAATGCTAAATATTTGACATCAGATTTTTAGGCATGACAAATCTAATATTTTTATGGCAACAAGGGGTTGGCTGTGACCACAGAGAGAAGTGTTGGTACCTTTCTGCAAAACTGCCACGGTGTACTTCGTATGCGTGAGATGTAGATCCGATGGCTCGGTGAAGGATGGCAGACACATCATAATCAACAACTCGTTTTTTTATAGAAGTGGAGATTTGTGATGTCGTGAAAATGGCAATTTCCTTCTGCAAGCATAACAATTCCTAACAAAAAAATCTGAACATGGCAAGGATTTGCCATGCTTGCTAAAAGAAATTTGTCATCATCGTGAGTTCGTGACAACATAGTCTTTCATCTTAGGCGTTCTATCTGTCATGCTAAAAATCTTATGATCAATTGTAGCGAAATCTTTATTTTAACTTCCGCCCCAAAAAAACTTTATTTGAACTGTATTTCTAAACGTTGTGTTGAGATTGTGCGTTTTGATAGTAAAGAAATTGATTCGTTCCTTGCTTACAAAGGATAGCTGTTTGGTACTAGTGGAGAAAATAGCTAGTGTACCAATCAAACTAGCGTGAATACAGAATAGGTCAGAAAAAAACATGAATGATGTTCTGAGTTCAACAATTAATCCATAATTTTTCAAGGGCTTTCAAAGTTCGGTCACTTATAGTCCATCTTCGTGCTGATATTCAGAAAATTCCAGCAGCAAGCATAGTTCAGCCCAAGCCAACACATAGACAGTTTTGAGCAGTGGGCTTTCGTGCAGCCACGAACGTTCGCAAATGGCAGCCCACGACTATTGATATGACTGCTAATTATCTAATTCAGATCTTACGACTTGGCACTGACATCTTTGGGATCAAAGCTATTTAGCACTGAGGTGGTGCAGCAAAACAGAATCAAAGAGAACTATAAAACCTTGTGCCAAGGAGCTTCACAAACCGCAGAGTCAGAGACGTCGCAAAATGGCAAATCAGAGTCAGAGACGGCACAATATTTGAGCAAGTCAGAGATTTCTGACGTTCTTCCATTAAACATGCACATAACAAGATTAACCGACACCGCTACAGGAACATAACCGGACCACTACTAAGAACACTACGACATGGAATGGGTGGATCTAAGCCTTGGTGGTCTTCTTGGGGGACTTGGTCGCCTTCTTGGGAGACTTGGGCTCCTTGCCCTCCTTCTCCGCGGTCCTCTTGGGGAGCAGCACCGGGTTGATCTTGGGGATCACGCCGCCGTGCGCGATGGTGACGCCGGCCAGCAGCTTTCCGAGCTCCTCGTCGTTCCGGACGGCGAGCAGCAGGTGGCGCGGGATGATGCGGCTCTTCTTGTTGTCCTTGGCGGCGTTCCCGGCGAGCTCCAGAAGCTCGGCGGCGAGGTACTCGAGGACGGCGGCGAGGTATACGGGGGCGCCGGTGCCGACGCGCTGGGCGTAGCGGCCCTTCTTGAGGTAGCGCCCGATGCGGCCGACGGGGAACTGGAGCCCGGCCTTGACGGACCGCGTCACCGACTTCTTCCTGGGGCCGCCGGCCTTGCGCCCGGCCGCGCCCTTCTTCCCCTTCGCTGCAGCGCCTGAGGCCTCCATTGCTGACGACGGCGCTTTTGAAGAAGAGCTGGAAAGGGGCAGAGAGATTTGATGGTGGTGGATTGCGGGGTGGGTTGGTGAGAATGGAGCAGAGGAGGCAGAGTACTTAAACGGCGAGGGGAGACGGTGGTGGGGCCGTCGATCCGCGTGCTCGGGCGTTGGACGGTTGGATCCAGAGGGGAATGGACGGCCGCGATGGCCAAAATACCTTGCGCGTCGCGGATCGGTGAATGAAAAAAAGAAGGAGAAAGTGGTACTCCGGCGAAATTTGAGTGCGGCTTTGTTGGAGAGTTGCGCCAGGGATTTTTGTAAAGATGTCCAGCTCACAGATGAAACGACACTGTTAGATGGAAACTTACTGGATCAGGGAATTTTACTGTTAAATCCATGTACAATATGCTGAAAGCAGTCCAAGAGGATTTTCCCTTTGAGAAATTGTGGTTTATCAAGGTACCTCTGAAAATTAAAGTGTTCTTGTGGTTAATGTTTAAAAATAGCATTTCTCTGGTAGTGATAAGTGTAAATTTTGTAATTATAAAGGAAACAGTAAACCATCTTTTTTTGCACTGCTCTTTAGTTAGGTATGCTTGGAGTGTCGTTAAATGTGCTTTTGGAGTTAATATGAATGTTACTTCTGTTCGAGACTTAAGTGGATGGATAGTTGAGTTATCAACCAATCTGGATTTACATCAACAAAGTCTCAAGAAGAGCCTGACTTTAACAAAGTCATTAACGGCTCATGCCATGAGAAAAATACAGAAATATGCCTCACACCCGGTCTGTAAGCAGAGCACAAAATCGTGTAGTGTATAGCGTTTGTCGGTGACTCTAAATCAGTTCCACAACAAAATAAACAATACAGCGAAACACATATGAGAAATTTGAAATAACTTTAGGATAATGGATATCAAATGCTTGTCAATTTGGTCTCAACATGCCGTAAGTCAACGCATACAAGTGACAAGAGGGTATACATTGTTGAGATATCCCCCATAAAAACATCATTCTCGCATTTGAATCTTTTGTACTCCCTTCGGTCCTTTTTAGTTCGCATATAAGATTTGTTTGAAGTCAAACCTCGTAAACTTTGACCAAGTTTATAGAAAAAATACAAACATTTAGAATGTGAAATCAACAACATTAGATGCGTCATGACTTTACTTTTCATATTGTATAAATTTAGCATTATAAATGTTAATATTTTTTCATATAAATATAGTCAAACTTTACGAAGTTTGACTTCAGACAATTCTTATATGCAGAGTAAAAAAGACCGGAGGGAGTATATACGAATTGTGACGCACACAAACAGCTAATCTATGTTTCGTGTAGCATTACACAAAGCCATGACATCTCAGATAGCTTCGAAATAATGGATATCCAGGACATGTTGGTTTGGCCTCAACATTCCCATATATTTGACAAGATGGTAGATGTTATAGTAACTTCCCCAACAATAAGAAAGGCCTTCTCCTTGCCGAAACTTTGATTAAAAAGATATTGAAGCAGACTGACAGTTTCCAAATTTGCAAGGGTGTGTTTCTTGTAGGATTACACAAGTCATGTCGTCTCAGATATAGCTTTGAAATAATGGTTATTTGGTACATGTCAGTTTGACCTCAACATATCGACAATCAACCCATATAGCATCATCACATATATTTTGAATGTTACGACTAACATTTGGCAATGTTGTTCATTCGCAGGGAGCAAAAACATTGTTATGGGCCATTTTGACGTCCTCATAGATGATATTTGGAGGGCCTGGTTATTTGACAAGCGATTGCCCAACAAGATTTGGGAAATCAAATTTGGACATCCAAAAAATGGAGCATTCAAATTTTTAGCGCTATTGATTTTTGGAAATTTCCTTTTTGGTAATTTGTTGAATTATAGTACAAGCAGCAGGGGGAAATGTGGCCCAAATTTTAATTTTTTATCTTTTGACAATATTGACCTATTGAGGTTTTAAACTTGTTAAACTTTAGAAGCTTTCCCTAGGCAAACGAGGTAGAGAACAAATATATGGATATGGGCCCCACACAAGAGAGAGAGGGGGGTGAAGGAGAGAGGCGTGGATAATACGAGTGTGTGGGCCTTACTCGCATCTCATGCAACAACGCGCAATGCTAAATCACCGACATGCCTTGCCTGTTTTCAAAAAGCATGCATGTGTGGGCCACTTCTCCATCCCAACTATGCACTCGGCACTCGACAACTGCCAAGGAGTCGCTTCGCCAAAACCTCTCGGCACATGCTTTACACACAGATAATCCTGTAAACATGTAGTATTATGAATTCCTTTCCATAAATATATAAATATATACTCTAGGTGTATATCATACTTTATGTCCTAACCACTTATATTCAATGTTGAGAACATTGGTTATTGATAGGTGTGTCCCGACACGGGGTTCACTACGAGCATGCCAAATCTTACAACGCGGATTTGTGACTTCATGTGGCCATTTTAGTGGTGACTTAGTCATTGACAACCATCTAATCTTGGATCGAAGGGCGAGGTCCACTCATGCGATGTTTATATTGTTATTCATAGCGATATAACGGTTTCACGGGTTGGAATCCACCACTTTCTTAATACCCTATACTTGCATCTTATGAAGGTATTATATTGTTCTCTTAGAAGAAAGAGGTCTATCTAGTTTTGAAAATTGCTAAATAATACCCACAAGCAAACTTTAGAAAACAAAAAGGTAACGGTAAAACGAGAAACATTCACCAGCCGTAATATTATTGTAGCTACGGATAGCATCCATAAAATCTACATTTTTTTATTAACAGCGGAAACGTGATAATTAATAGATTATCTATGAAAATGCTAAATATTTGACATCAAGATTTTTAGGCACGACCAATCTAATATTTTTATGGCAACAAGGGGTTGTCTATGAACATGGAGCGAAGTGCTGGTACCTTTCTGCAAAACTGCCACAGCTTACTTCGTATGCGTTAGATGTAGATTTGATGGCTGCCAGTGGAGGATGGCAGGCGCACCATTTTTTATAGAAGTAGAGAAGTAGAGATTTATGATGTCGTGAAAATGGCAACTTCCTTTTGCAAGCATGACAAACAACAAATCTGAAAATGGCAACTTCCTTTTGCAAGCATGACAAACAACAAATCTGAACATGGCAAGGGTTTGTCACCGTCGACGACGAGACGCCTACGGTGACTTCGTAAATCTCAAGATGATATGCCGGCTCAGTCTCTCGGAGGTGCTCATAGGGATAGGGTGTGCGTGTGTGCGTTCATAGGGGTGAGTGTATGCACGTGTATATGAGCGCTTGTGTCTGTACTGATGCTCAAAAAAAAGGGTTTGACATGCTTGCTAAAAGAAATTTGTCATCCTTGTGACAACATAATTTTTCAAGCCTTGCTTACAAAAAATCTCAGGCGTTCCATTTGTAGCAAAATACTTATCTTAACTTCTGCACACAAAAAAAACATTAATAGAGCTGTATTTCTAAACTTTGTGTTGAGATGGTGCGTTTTGATGGTAAGGAAATTGGTTCAAGCATTGCTTACAAAGGATAGCTGTTCTGAGTTCAACAATTACTCCATGCTTTTTCAAGGCCTTTCAAAGTTCGGTCACTTATAGTCCATCTTCGTGCTGATATTCAGAAAACTCCAGGAGCAATAGCTCAGCCCACGAACGACAGATACACAAAACCTAGAGCCATGTCTCCCTGTTATGCATACGTTCGCAAATGGCAGCCCACGATTTGATACCCCGCTGTCGACTGTTGATATGATTGCAAATTATCAAATTCAGAGGTTTTGACACAGCAATGGCATATTTGGGATGAAAGTTATTTAGCATGATGCGCTGCAAATAAGGTGGAGCAGCAAAACTGAATCAAAGAGAACTGGAAAACCTTGTGGCAAGGAGATTCACAAACCACAAAGTCAAAGACAGCGCAATATCTGGGCAAATCAGGGAGTCAGACGCAGGGAAATTCGCAAAGAGTCAGACACGGCACAATATTTGCGCAAATCACAGAGAGTCAGAGACGCCGCAATTTTTGGGCAAGTCAGAGAGAGTCATAAACGCCGCAATTTTTGGGCAAGTCAGAGAAATTTCTGACATTCTTCCATTAAACATGCACACAACAAGATAAAACAACACAACTACAGGAACACCACCGGACCACTACGAAGAACACTACGACATGGAACGCGTCGATTAAGCCTTGGTGGTCTTCTTGGGGGACTTGGTCGCTTTCTTGGGAGACTTGGGCTCCTTGCCCTCCTTCTCCGCGGTCCTCTTGGGGAGGAGCACCGGGTTGATCTTCGGGATCACGCCACCGTGCGCGATGGTGACGCCGGCCAGCAGCTTTCCGAGCTCCTCGTCGTTCCTGACGGCGAGCAGCAGGTGGCGCGGGATGATGCGGCTCTTCTTGTTGTCCTTGGCGGCGTTCCCGGCGAGCTCCAGCAGCTCGGCGGCGAGGTACTCGAGGACGGCGGCAAGGTAAACGGGGGCGCCGGTGCCGACGCGCTGGGCGTAGCGGCCCTTCTTGAGGTAGCGCCCGATGCGGCCGACGGGGAACTGGAGCCCGGCCTTGACGGACCGCGTCACCGACTTCTTCCTGGGGCCGCCAGCCTTGCGTCCGGCCGCGCCTTTCTTGCCCTTAGCGCCAGCTCCGGTGCCTGAGACGTCCATTGCTTGCAGGTGATGCTCTTGGGGCTCGGGGCGCGGAGGAGGATTGGTTTTGTGATGGGAGATTGGGATTGAGAGCTGTGATGGAAATTGTGGAGGGGCGGGGGTATTTAAACGGCGCGGAGGGCGGGTGGTGGGCCCGTCGATCCGCGGGCGCGGGCGTTGGGCGGTTGGATCGGGAGGGCCTTGGACGGCCGCGATGCGGCTTTGGGAGGAGCGATCCGTGGGAGGCTTGGTTGGACGAATCAGGTGCGAGGATATTCTGGAGCCCGGAAATTTCTGCCCACAGGTTTCCCGCCTGCCAATTCGAGGCCTGGGCGCGTGATTGAAGTTTTTTTTTTTTTGCGTGATTGAAGTCGTTCATTTATCCCGAACAAGATTTGGTTCACACTCAAACCTTGACCGGTCATTTATTTCCCTCACAGCGTGTTTGGCAGTCCGTGGGAAAAGGCATGGGAATTTTTAAGTGGGAGTTAGCTGAGAGATTAGACATGGCAAGTGGACTATCAGTCCCAATCCCTCGTTTGGTTTGGGGGTGGGAGTTAGTAGTGGGAATCTTGTTTCCGCAGCTTGCGGGACGGGAGCAACGAACATAGCGATTGGTTTTTTCTCTCTCATTTCCCATTCCCTCCTCCAATTACCAGGCCCTCCGTGGGAAGAGATAAGTGGGAGTTTGACTGGCAACTCCTTTTCCCCGTCCATCATCAATTTCCCTGTCCTCCAATCAAACAAGGGAATTTAAACCCCACGCCCTCCTAATTCCCATTCCCTAATACTACTTCCCCCGAAATAAACAGGCTGTCAAGACAATACTAAGTCGTTTCTTTGTTTCTTTAACCACACATATTATTATTAACCAATAAACGGAGGATGCGTTTGGTTATCTGCATCATTTTTTTTGCCCTTTTGCATACATGTCTCACTTGGGTCTAGTCGAGCGTATGCAGGTGAAAGACCAACATCTGCATTTTAATTGGTTGTTTGCATCTTCTCTTCCTGCATCGTAGCACCGCCTCTACGCAACGTGTTTGGTTGCTCGTATTGGTTGTGCTCATACAGGTACACGTTGGTTGATTGTATACACTAGACATGATTAAGAGTTAATAGCTATACATAACACAGTGTTACACGATGAAAGGCCGTGGTCAAAGTAAACATGTTGTCTAGCCGTGCACGCCTGGTCGTTGATCTCCACTTACTTGCCTCCGGATGGCTTCCCGCCTTTGCTTGACCCGGCCCTTCATGTGTTGCCCTCATGGCCTGGCTAGACTTAATGCAGCCTACCAAACGCATCTGGAGTACAATTCTACATGCATGTGAAAACTACTAGAAAGACTGGGACATGACAAGTGTCCAGGAAATTATTCAAGAGCCCCAAATAAAAAAAATTAGAAACAAGTCCACTAAGGTCCCTGCAAACAAGCAAATCTGAAACCGTCTTCGACCACCAGCGTCGCCAAGACGCACATGGGAGGAAGAGATGGAACACCAACAAACCAAAAATCATGCCAGTGGCATGGCCTTGTAGGCGTTGAGAGTCGAAGACCAGACCTGCAGAACAAGCACTTGGCGATGTGACGTGTCGACCAAGGGTGTTTCCCACGCTGACCTGGATCCAGATTTGACGAATCCCGTCGTTGTTGCCAGGAAAGAACGGCAGATCCGCCGCCATCAGGGCCACCGGCCTTGAACTCGCACCAACATGTCCCACTTGCCTACGATGCGTTGAATGGCAACATCCGCCAGACACAGGAAACAAAAAGCTCATCGCTCCAAACAAACAGCAAGCGAACATGGCCGTCGGCTCAACGACACCGCCAGAGAGAACGTCATCATGGTGAGGGGAGACCTAAGGGCTAAGACATCTTATTCAACGAAGCACCAACCTCACCAAATTGTGCTACTAGACAAATACGAGATCTAAAAATATGGACTAACTTGAGGAGAAGCATGAGCACACTATTAGAAATATGCCCTAGAGGCAATAATAAATTGGTTATTATCATAATTCCTTGTTCATGATAAAGGTTTTTATTATTCATGGTAGAATTGTATTGACCGAAAACTTAAATACATGTGTGAATACATAAACAAATACTATGTCCCTAATGAGCCTCTACTAGACTAGCTCATTGATCAAAGATGGTTAAGGTTTCCTAACCATAGACATAAGTTGTCATTTGATAATGGGATCATATCATTAGGGGAATGATGTGATGGACAAGACCCAACCGTAAGCTTAGCAGTTGATAGTATCAATTTATTGTTATAGCTTTCTTCATGTCAAGTATCTACTCCTAAGACCACGAGATCGTGTGACTCCCTGACACCGGAGGAATACTTAGTGTGTATCCAAATTTCACTTAGTAACTGGGTGATCATAAAGGTGCTCTACAGGTATCACCGAAGGTGTTTGTTGGGTTGGCACGGATCAAGACTGAGATTTGTCACTCCGTGTGATGGAGAGATATCTCTGGGCCCTCTTAGTAATGCAACATCGTAAAGAGCATGCAAGCAATGTAGCTAATGAGTTAGTCATGAGATCTTGTATTACGGAACGAGTAAAGAGACTTGCCGGTAACGAGATTGAACTAGGTATGGAGATACCGATGATCGAATCTCATGCAAGTAACATATAGCCGGACAAAGGGATGCACATGGGATTAACCGAATCCTTGACATTGTGGTTCAACCAATAAAAGATCTTCCTAGAATATGTAGAAACCAATATGGGCATCCAAGTCCCGATATTGGTTATTGACCGGAGAGGTGTCCCGGTCATGACTACATGATTCCCGAACCCGCAGAGTCGCACACTTAACGTTCGTTGACGCTGGAGTGGTATTTGGATATTTGATGATTGGTAACCGAATGTTGTTCGGAGTCCCGGATGAGATACCAGACGCCACGAGGAGTCTCGGAATGTTCAAGAGGTAAAGATTTATATATGGGAAGTCATATTTTAGGTTCAGAAAAAAGGTGCAGTTTTTTTCGGTATTGTACCGGAAGCTTCCAAACGGATCCGGAAGTCCACAAGTGGGTCCACCACATCCAATGGGCTGGCATGGGCTCAGGGGAGGTGCCCTGGCCTTATTGGGCTAGGCGCACCAAGTCCTCAAAAGCCCATGCGGCTAGGGAAGGGAAAAAAGTGGAGTCCTAGTAGGAATAGGATTGGGGTTGGAGTCCAAGTCCTCTCCCCCTTGGCGCCAACTCCTATTAGGAGTAGGGCTAGACTCTTAGCCCTCACACGCATATAAATATACAGGAGGGGCGCAGCAGGGCATCCCAAGACATTGGCCTTGGCAGCTACCCCGTCTCTCCCTCCCGGGATAGTTCTCGTCCATGTTTTTTTTGCTTAGTGATACGTCTCCGTCGTATCTACTTTCCAAACACTTTTGCCTTTATTTTGGACTCTAACTTGCATGATTTGAATGGAACTAACCCGTACTGACACTGTTTTCAGCAGAATTGCCATGGTGTTATTTTTGTGCAGAAATAAAAGTTCTCGGAATGACCTGAAAGTCAACGGAGAATTATTTTGGAATATACAAAAAATACTGGAAGGAAGATCCACGTCAGGGGGGGCTCCACCTGTCCACGAGGGTGGGGGCGTGCCCTACCCCCTAGGCGCGCCCCCTGCCTCGTGGGCCCCCTGATGCTCCACCGGCCTCAACCCTGACTCCATATATTCACTTTCGGGGAGAAAAAAACAGGGAGAAGGATTCATTGCATTTTACGATACGGAGCCGCCGCCAAGCCCTAAACTCTCTCGAGGGCTGATCTGGAGTCCGTTCGGGGCTCCGGAGAGGGGAATCCGTCGCCATCGTCATCATCAACCATCCTCCATCACCAATTTCATGATGCTCACCGTCGTGCGTGAGTAATTCCATCGTAGGCTTGCTGGACGGTGATGGGTTGGATGAGACTTATCATGTAATCGAGTTACTTTTGTTAGGGTTTGATCCCTAGTATCCACTATGTTCTAAGATTGATGTTGTTGTGAGTTTGCTATGCTTAATGCTTGTCACTAGGGCCCGAGTACCATGATTTCAGATCTGAACCTATTATGTTTTCATCAATATATGAGAGTTCTTGATCCTATCTTGCAAGTCTATAGTCACCTACTATGTGCTATGATCCGGCAACCCCGAAGTGACAATAATCGGGACCACTCCCGGTGATGACCATAGTTTGAGGAGTTCATGTATTCACTATGTGTTAATGCTTTGGTCCGGTACTCTATTAAAAGGAGGCCTTAATATCCCTTAGTTTCCAATAGGACCCCGCTGCCACGGGAGGGTAGGACAAAAGATGTCATGCAGGTTCTTTTCCATAAGCACGCATGACTATATTCGAAATACATGCCTACATTACATTGATGAATTGGAGCTAGTTCTGTGTCACCCTATGTTATGACTGTTACATGATGAACCGCATCCGGCATAATTCTCTATCACTGATCCATTATCTACGAGCTTTCCATATATTGTTCTTCGCTTATTTACTTTTCCGTTGCTATTGTTATCATCACTACAAAACACCAAAAATATTACTTTTGCTACCGTTACCTTTTACCACCGTTACCACTACTATCATATTACTTTGCTACTAAACACTTTGCTGCAGATATTAAGTTTCCAGGTGTGGTTGAATTGACAACTCAGCTGCTAATACTTGGGAATATTCTTTGGCTTCCCTTGTGTCGAATCAATAAATTTGGGTTGAATACTCTGCCCTCGAAAACTGTTGCGATCCCCTATACTTGTGGGTTATCAAGACTATTTTCTGGCGCCGTTGCCGGGGAGCATAGCTCTATTCTTTGAGTCACTTGGGATTTATATCTGCTTATCATTATGAAGAGCTTGAAAGATCCAAGAACCAAGATTTATCCCTCAACTACGAGGGGAGGTAAGGAACTGCCATCTAGCTCTGCACTTGATTCACCTTCTGTTTTGAGTAAGCTTGCGACACCTAGACCTACTTCTGCTATTAATTCTGATATG